ATTTCTTCCTGGCTGTTCGTTTTCCATTCTCATGCTCCTTGCCATATTGCCGCACAGTTCTTCCATCCTTTGTTTTGGGGGGGGCCGGGGGGGGGGATGTGGGGGGCGGAACAGGCTCCATTCTAATCGTGGGGAGAAGGACGTGCTGGGAATTGGGCCCAGTTTACCGTACTCATTCAGTCATTTTCTGATTGCGCCGCGGGGTGAGTGCAGGTGCTCGGGGCAAAAAACAAGTCCAGGGAGATGGCTAGAGCCCTGTGTGGGGTAGTTCGATGGTCCTCCTCCTCCTCCTCCGCCTCCTGCTCCCTTACTGGGGCGCGGAATGGAGTAAAACTGCGGGGAGGGAGCGGACCCTCCGCTTCCGCTTCCACTTCCGCATCCGTGCGCTATCAAATGGAGTCTTCCTTTCTGGGCTCGAGCTGCTTCGGCTCGGCGGAGTTGGGTAGCGCCATGGCGTTGACAAGAGCCAGAGAGGAGGGGGGAGGGAGGCACTTCTCCTCTCGCTTGCGGGCCGGTGAAGTGCTGATGATGGGCGTCGCACCGAAAACTACGAAGACGATGGGGAAATCAAGGAGCAAGTCTACAGCGTCGTCAGACAGCATAAAGTCGATCGTGGCCAGAGAGATCATCGATAGCCGGGGAAATCCGACGGTGGAAGTGGACATAGAGACGCAGGACGACCGCGTGTACCGATCGGCGGTGCCCAGCGGCGCATCCACGGGGGTCTACGAGGCACTTGAGCTGCGAGATGGTGATGCAACCAGATTTGGCGGGAAAGGTGTTCGAAAAGCGGTCGCCAACGTCAACGACGTGATCGCGCCTAAGTTGATTGGCCTCAACCCGAAGTACGTGTCTTCGTCAATTTTGTCTTTTGGGTTATGTTTTTTGGAAGGGTAGTTTTCATCATTTTCCTTCCATCGTTCTCTTGCCATTCCTTTCGACCTTATTTTTTTTCAACGGAAGTTGTAGTTCAAGGGATAATTTGCGAAATACCCCCAGAAGTTGAGATATGTGCCAAAATGCCCCTGAAGGATGTGGGTAGAGCGCAAAAATGCCCTTTTGGGCCGAAATCTTTGTGTTGTGCCCCAGTCAGGCGGGGGTGCAACTTAGCAATCTAGACCTCCCTCCCCGTTTGGGCCTTGACCTTTTGGAATAAAGTACAGGGGCATCTTACAAACTTGGACGGTACCCGGTAGGGGTATATTGCAGAAATGGAGGTTTATGATAGTACTACCATCACTGAGCTCAATCAGCAGAAAGCTTTGAGTCAGCACTCAGTCAGCAACAGCATTATCATCACACTCAGTCCGACATCACGAAAAAAGACACAGATTGACGCGAAATTCGGTCCATTCGGAACCACCATCGTCATTCACAAAACCCAGTTATGTGGACGCCAGGGGTATTTCACTTTTTTTTTTTTTTGTTTTGTTTTTTGTCAGAGGTCAGGGTTGAGTGACTTTGCAATCTGGACCTCCCCGTTTGGGCCTTGTCCTTTTGGAATAAAGATTAGGAAAAAGTTGTGAAGTACAGGGGCATTTTGCAAACTCGGACGGTACCCGGTAGGGGTATATTGCAGAAATGGAGGTCCAACAGACGCCAGGGGTATTTCACTTTTTTTTTTTTTTTTTTTCTTACCCACATCTTCTGGGGCCATTTTGGCATATATCTCACCTTATGAGGGTATTTTCCAAATTATCCCTAATTTCAATTGCGAAAGAAAAAGACGAGGCCGGTGTCCTCACAGTCTACCCGGAAACAGTGACTTCTGGGAGCACACCGCCGAGAAGACGTTTTTAAGTGGAAACACACCGCCGAGAACTCAGACCCGGGGTTGCAATCCACAATCGCGGGGTTGCAATTCACAATCGAACTTCCCGCAAGTTCCCCGCCGGCTCAGCTAGACTTGCCCCTGACTCAGGGCATTGGACTTTTGACCATTAGGGCGCACTCACTCACACAGTGGTGGCGTAGCTGCAAAATCTGTGAATTTCGCTATCCCTCCTATCTATTCGTGGGGAGGAGCACGTGCTGGGAACCGGGCCCAGCGTCCCATATGAAAATTTAACAGCTGGTTTGGAAGTATGGCTGAGAAACAAAAACATATGCACAATTCAGAAAATGACTCAGACACCCCCAATCGATCCCCTGTACCCCACTCCGGCAAGACTTACTGCCGCAGAGCCACCATCTCCGCTGCTGCTGTGTGAATTTTGCTATCCAGATTTTGCTGGAATGCCACCCTGCCCTGTCACATAGCGGCAGCAAATCACTCACGGAGGGGCAGCAAATCACTCGCAAAAGACAGGAGCTGGACTGTCTGGCAATTGCGGAAATGGTCCTCCACGTATGGATGGGAATACCAAGACCGGCTATACCCAGTCCCAGCCTAACTTGTGTCTATACCCAGAAAACGGTGGGTGGAAATTGTTTGCATGCCCAGGAGGGAGGTGGACCCGGGTTGGTACCGCAAAATTGCGGTTGTAACCAACTACGGAAATGGACAGATTATGGACATACCCAGGCAAAATTATGGGCATACCCGGGACCTGAGGAGGAGAGGCCAAATTGTTCATATACCCTGCTAATACCACGATGGCTGGGATTTTGCTAATACCCAGCACAGTAGCCGTTGGGCCAGATGGTCTACTTGGTGGGCGTGAGCATAATGTCGTGGTGCAAATCTGAGGGCCTGCGGGATTGGGTACACCTAGAATTCTGCACAGGGGAAAAAGCTGGGTGCTATGCAAAGTTGAAGGCCCTCCGGGTGGGTATAGATGCAAGTTTGCGCTTGGACTGGGTATAGCGGGTATTACCATCGTTAAGAGGGGTACAGATGCAATTTTCCCAAAGAGACAATGGTTTTAAGTTCGCCGATTTGGACCTTATCTTCCTGCATAACAGAGGAGGGTAAACACTGTGGCCTTATTCCGAGAGAGCAAACGTCAGTCTCATTGGACATTTCAGGACTGCCCCGAGTTTCTCTTTATTGCGTAGGTCTTTATGCAATTAATTTTGCACATTTTTTCACAATGTTGCACAGGTTGTAGCAGCTCATTACTCGTCCGCACGTGGCCCGGCTCTCACTTTTGGGAGAGGTCAGGAAGCCTGCATTTCTTTGCACCCACTAAGACCGGACTTCGAAGCCTGCAAAGTCACCCACCCGGCCTCAAAAGCCCTTTCCTTAAATTTCAACCTTGCGTACCCTAAACCCTAAACCCTAAATGGCGGTTTTGTGTCAATGACTGGTCTAAAGAAGGTTGATAGAGCTTTGGGGTGTGTGTATAATCGTGTACGCCGTGGGATGCGGACTCGGGAGCAGTGAGGCAGGGCAATCAGGGACAAGATGCCATGACTCCTGTGGAAGAAAGTGGGGTTGTAGGAACCTGGGAGGAAGATGTAGCTGCAGAGGAAGGGTGGGCCTGAAGAGGGGACACACCTGTGGTGGAGACAAGCGTGCAAATGATGCCAACCGAGGTAGAAGAGGAAGATGGTATAGATTCTGATGACCGGGCTGGGAGGGGGGGATCCGAGGTCCCAAACTGGGGTGGGGAAGGATGTGATCTGCTAGCAGCATGTGTTTGGGAAGGGGAAGGAGGGGGAGGAGATGAGGGGAGAGGACTGGAATGGGACAGAGGGGGAGGAGATGAGGGGAGAGGACTGGAATGGGACTGGAATGGGACTCCAGATGTGCCATGCGGTCAGACAAAATAGCAAACTGAGCATCAAATCGGTCTTGCTGCAGAAGTGTGGCAATGGCGTCCGCTGTGGCAGTGGCTGCAGGACCGGAGTCTACGGCGGTAGCGCTTACTGTCGAACCGGGTGCCATATCGCGTGCAAGAAGTGCAAGGCCGTCACTGGTGGAGCGAGAAGGGCTCACAAACTTTGCAGTCTGCATGGAGTCGGAGGGTGAAGAAGATGAAGATGATGTGGAGGGAGCACGGTGATGAGGGGGATGATCGGTAGCCGCAGTCGGTGCGTCGAAGTGAGCGAGTCGATTTGCGGTACGGGCATCTCCAGCGCAAATTATGAGTGCACGCTGTTGGGTGTCACAGGGAGCCAGGTTGACGCACACAGAGGTGGGGTCTCGGAGGAAGGCGAGTAAAATTGAAGTGTAACGAAATTCCGAATTTAAATCGAGAAAATTTAGAGTTGGATTGAGGGAAGAAAGAGTAAAATGGGTAAACATGAAAAAACTAGTTGAGTAAGAAAAAAAAAACGAAATTGTTTGGGCATGAATTCAGAATTCATAATAAATTTAAAGAAAATTTCAAAGAATTTCGAAAATTTCGTGGAAATTTTTGGCAACTCGGGGAGGTGATGGGAAAGATAGAGATAACTTCAGAAGACAAATTTGAGGTGAAATGGAAAATCTTGACGTATATTCAAAATTAAAAGAAATTCGAAAGCAATTTGAGAAAATTAAGAATTTATGCGAGAAATTCCGAAATTATTTAGGTTAAATCAAGAAAAATTATTGACGTGTTGCAAGATTAAGAGAGAAATTTCGAAAAGATTCCAGAGGAATTTTGAAAGAATTGCAGAATTTTGGAATTCTACGGGGGAGTTGAGGAGGAATTGTTTCTTATTCTGAAGAACGAAATTTCGTGAATTCCAAGAATTATTTGACGAAGTTCTGGAAAAGAAGTTGAATTTTTGGAATTATTGACAAAGAAAATGAATACGATAAAGATTTTTTTTTAACTTTTGAACAGAGCTGCGACTTAACTTCGTTCGCGGCGTTGGTGGGGAAGAGGTTGAATCCTTGTCCTATCGAACGAGGGGGAAATTCGGCACGATAGGATAGACGGCATTGCCAGATGAACACGAAGGGAGAAAATATGCGTCACACGTGTTAGGAATTTTAGATGATGTGACAAATTAGGTGGGATGGTAGAGGAGAGAAGGGGGAATGAAGGGGGGATGGGATAAGAAGAGAAATGAGATCTTTGGACGAGATCGATGAAATGGAGGGAGGGAATTAGTGAAGGGGGGAAGAGATTGATGACACCGTGCTCCTGGTTGGCCGGAAGCAATGAATGTCCTTCCTTGTTGAGGAAGGTCTTCAAGTAACCCCTAAAGGGTCTTCTCGATCGTTCCCCCGGTGGAACAACAAAGTCGCCGGAAAAAGCAAACGGTGATAAAGTGTCCGAGTCTTGATCGTTCCCCCGGTGGAACAACAACGTCGCCGGAAAAAGCAAACGATGACAAAGTGTCCGAGTGATGACGCACTTGAGTGACAACACTGCATCACTGATGATGAGGACGGAGACGAGATCCTAACGGAGCTGCCGTTGTGGGAGAGGGGCAGTAGGGATCTTGTCGATCCAGTCGTGCCCGTCGCCAAGTGGGTGATGTGGCAATGTCGGCTGTTCAGGTGCCAAGGTTTGCAATGAGTGGGGAAGCCGACATCAAAGGATCAAAAAGCAACGTTGCTGTGAACACGTGGCTGCCACAAGCCAGTTGTCTCCGCAGTGACTTTTCAACACCTCTGGTTTAAGTCCAGAAACGCCAAGGGATCGATGGGCCAAGCTCGCACAGTTTGTATACGTACTGGAAATTAAAATCAAATGGTGCATGTACGTAGGGGCATGAACATAGAGCATGAACGTAGTGCATGGACATAGCATGGACACAGCATGGACATAGCATGGACGTAGTACCAGTGGGGGCTGCCCCTTATTATATCGGGTGGCTTTGTGCTGGACTTTAATGTTCTCTAGGTAACCATGGGGAGGGAGGGGGGCAGGGGGCGGAAGTAGCCCATAGAGCAGACTTCGGTGGATTGCATAGTCAGTGTGTCTCACATATAGCCTTCCTGCTATCTTTTCACCCAAATACAATTTATGGTCATTATAGCTGTATTTGGGGTATCTTTCCGACTAAGTACGGTGGTAATGACCGTATGTTGTGTAGGGGCAAAGAAGGTAGTAGTAGTAAGATTGCTTGTGTTTGCCTCAGTTCTTTTCTGTATGCCATCCTGGAAAGGGATATAAAGTAATATAAAGAATTATAAATTGAACATTTTGGCGTTTACCGTGACAAGGCCAGACTGTCTCTCTGTGTGTGTGACTGTGTGTCCGGCCATGTGCCACACCATGTGAATTTGGCCCTAATTCATGGTCTGCATCTGCAAGAAGCACACGACCAAATACAGGATGGTCGGTCTGTTCCAACTTCCAAGGCAAATGCCAAAACAGTGATCTTCATCTGTGTGGTGCAGACCGCCAGGTACAGACTGTTTGGGTCTGTTCTTTTCTTGTTTTGTTTTTTTGGAGGGGAATTTCAAAACAACAGCCGCAAGTTTCGTTATCTCAGACTTGTACGTGCTGTATCAGTACTCTGTGTGTGTGCTCGTGAGTATGTTTTTCTCTCTCTGAGGGCGCACTCACACTACCACTATCTTGAATGAATGTACCTGACCATTTAAGGCCAGAACTCGATGTATCTGACCGCAATGACGTCCACAGGATTTAGTTTTTTTCCCCTTCAGTGTGTGTATGCTTTTTCTTGGGTGTAGAAAACACGTGCCTGCAATGGGTGTCAGTACCTTGCGGTGAAGGGTCTTCTCTTCTTCTCTAATTAGTAATTAGCCAATCTTGGCCTGCTTGATGGTTGATCAGGGACCAGAGTTCCATTGATGAGGTAATGCTGGAGCTGGATGGGACAGCGAACAAGTCTTCTCTGGGTGCCAATGCAATCTTAGGAGTGTCACTGGCAGTTTGCAGAGCAGGTGCGGGAGCTGTGGGGCTGCCTCTGTACAGGCATATCCAGTCTTTGGCTGGTATAAGCGAACTGGTAATGCCGGTGCCAGCGATGAATGTGATCAACGGTGGCAGCCATGCAGGCAACAAATTGGCCATGCAGGAGTTCATGATACTCCCCGTGGGTGCTACCTCATTTGCAGAAGCAATGCAAATGGGTTGTGAAGGTCAGTTGGAGCTCCTGTGTGTGTGTGCGCGCGCGCGTGTGTGTGTGTGTGTGTGTGTGTGTGTGTGTGTGTGTGTGTGTGTGTGTGTGTGTGTGTGTGTGTGTGTGTGT